TATGTTTAAATTTTATATCACATCCTTGTATACACAATGTACATTTAATTGAGTTGGTGGGTTGCAAAGCAGAAATCTGACTACTTCCTGACTGATGTAGACCCAGAGTTTTTCCTTTATCTGATTACCAAAATGCATTTAAACGTGTTGAACAAATTACTGACAAAATAAAAAATTCTTTTGCAGTTATTGGTTTGCTAAATGCATGTAAACACACTCGCTGAATGCGAGAATGTGCTTTAAGAATGTAAATAACACCCCTACAGTTCATGTATATAAATTAAGCTACAAACAGTCTGTTTTCACTTTTCGTTTTTGTGATGTCATAAAAACAACTGTTTACATATAAAATATATGGCCAGAAGTATGTGGACACCTGACCATCCATCTATGTGAGCTTGTTGGACATCTGATTCCAAAACCATGGACATTACTATGGAGTCACCCCCCCACCTTGTGGCTATAACTAGACCTTTTCACTATAATAGTACCTGAAAGGTGCAGCCTATGATAGTGCCTTGTTTAAAGTCACTGAGCTCTTCAGTAAGACCCATTCTACTGCCAATGTTTATTTATGGAGATTGCATAGCTATGCCCTTGCTTTTATATACCTGTTAGCAATGGGTGTGGCTGAAATGCCTGAACTCAATAACTAGGAGAGGTGTTCACATCCCTTTGGCCATATAGTGAATATGTGTTTATTCAGCCTACATCAGTTGTCACTGCCCATAAATGCTGATGCTATAATGAGCTTTTCAGTCTGGACTGCTTTTTGAAAGAGACACAATACAGGGCAGCCAATAACAACATAGCCCATTTACATCTATCACTGCATAATCATCACACCTATAAAAAAAACATAGCCTGTTTAATTCTAAGGGAGAAAGGGAGGCAGGAAATTGGTCATGTAAAAATTAATTGTGGCTTTAATTGGTGCATAAAATCACACTAATTTAAAATAAATAGACCTCTGGAAAAATTTCAAACACCAAAAAATTTTAAATATAGGCACTTCAAATCTTTAAACAAACTTAAAATACAAGCAACTGTCAATAAATCAATAAATCAGTGGAACATTAAAGTGGATTTTTAGAGGCTACACAGGAAGTGCTGGAGGGTCACAGTTGTAGTTCTTCAAAATGCCCTCCCACCTTCTGACACAAAATCTAGCCAAATGATATATCAGTCAGGTTATAGTTACTGAACCTCTTTGACTTAATGTAACTAGTATAACTTCAGCAACTTCCCCAGTTGATCACATTGCAAGCCAAAACCTTGTCCTACAATGACCTGTGTCACACACACTTTCAGTGCTATTTCTCTAACACTATTCAGTCAGTCACATTTGTCTGCATTTAACATGCTCTCTTCGCAAGGCATGCATGCGCGACACCAAATTCCTTCCATGACACATTCTGGGTGTGCTCTGTTTCTCAAATCCTTCAATCCAGCCATTCAAGAAAATCTAAGCCGTTAAAGCCCCACCAAGTAAAAAAAAATATTCATATTTTGTTTAGTTTAAAAGCTGCCACAGTATACATGCTTGTGGTAATCCAACATGCATAAGAAGGTGACAATAACAAACATCTGCAAGAGATGCATTGAATTTCCTCGATTCAAATGTGTACATAATTTACACATTAATAAAATATTTTACAACAATGCATAAATTTGCAGGAGTGGAAATAGAACTGAAAGTCCCTGCTTAAGTAGGAGTACTGTATGTTCACTTATAAGGATACAAGAAAAAAAGTAATACAAAAATTGCTGAAGTAAAAGTAAATAAGTCGCTTGTGAACTACAGAAATAATTAATAAAATAATTATTAATTAAATAATATCATTATTATTACCAATAATTGATGAAATAATTCATGTTTTAATGAAACAATAAAATTTTCGCAGTCTGAGCAAGTTTCTAATGGGTTGGATTTTCTATTAACTCAGCTGTTTGCATCACATGTGGTCATTTGATTAGGGAAAACTGATGATATATTGAATATAAAGTAATGCTTTATACCTGTAGCTGCCAATATAATTGCCCCATGCCTGAATATAAATGGCTTTTTCTTACACATTTAATGCACTACTTGTGTGCTGAAGCCGTTTTTTTGTATAACTTACATAGTGCATAACATAGTATTTGAGATTCAGCTAAAGCAAACGGTTTAGAGACTCTTCCAAAGCATCCATCTTTTCATGATTTGAAATGTTTTTAGTATGAATATGTGAGGTTGTAGACTAACTGTGGCGAGTAGCAGTTTTCAAACCCCTTTTTTTAATGAAAGCCACAGCTGCGTTCATGGAAAAACAGTAGATAATTCAAGCAGTAATCAGTGGAACAGGGAGAAAAACACTGATATGACTAATCCAATATCATAGATTAGCACTTGTAAAATTACTCCTGTCTGAATAAGGCTTAAGTTAAAAATCAAAGGAGGTTACATCAATTAAATACCTTACATATATCTAACCGTCAAGACTTACTGGGTTTATTGGCTAGCCACTGGCTTAGCTTGAACATTAGCAAGTGTTGGCTAAATTCGCTAATTAACAGGCACTCGCATTACTCAACATTAAAGCAACAGCTACAGTTTGACTCAAAATTTGTCATCCTTGTTGTTCTATAACAACAAGATAAAAAGAAAATAAACACAAAAAACAACGGAGGGCAGTAGCTATTGAGCTAAGGTCAGTTAGCAAGTCAACTAGTTACTTTTCAGAGTTATGAAAAGCAGAGATTTTGTTTACTCTGTAATCCTTAAAAACTGCAAAGAGAGTAAAAAGTTAAGATGAAAAATCACTCAAAAAAGTGAAAAGTAATCACAATGATTTATTTAAGCTCAGAGAGTACTGTTACAGAGAAAAGTGTACTACTGAAACAGTAGTAGTCATTTGAATCAAATAAATGGAGTCTATCACTTTTTCAGTGCACTTGCAAAAACCTTTTTTTCTGTGTCATATTTTCATGGGCACTCTCCTCATCATCATTCCAGCAGTTCAAGGAACAGTTTAAACATTGACTGCACAAATTACTGTGGTATAATGGAAAAGTGAAGAAGAGGACATTATTCCTTTCTCTGTTAGTCCTGTTGACCTCAGGACAGCGTGATTTCACAGGACCGGCCGTGGCATGATGGATTGTATAACATTATGGCCAGTGTAGTAGTCCACTGGGGAGAGGGAAGTAGACGGATGCAGTTGTGAGGGTTGGCAGGGAATATAATGAGGAGTATAACCTCCTGTGCCCTCCGTTGGGTGTTGGACTTATTCTGCTGCGAGCCTGGGGCAGAGGAAGGGCACAGTCTTCCTTCACTCTCTGGTGCCTTCTACTCTTTCTGCATTGTATAAATGAGAATGTTCTGGTCCCCTAGTGCCTTAATGATCCAGTCCAAAGCCATTAAATGATAAAGATCCATAACTGGATAGTCATAAGTGATATAACGTTGATTTATACCGGATTGGTTGGAAAGTGACTCTGGTATATGAACCAGTAACGGGATTTGAAATATTGTAGCATTTTAGAGGGCTGTAGAGAGATTGGAAGGTGTAGCATTTCATATGAAGCACACAGACTTGGTAAACAACATTTGCAACAACAATTTTTCAGCCTTGCCCCCATCTTATGTAACTTATTCAACTTTAAGTTGTTCATACAGTACCATGTGAAGGCTTGGACACACCTGATGGAATTTTCAGTCTTTTGGTACTGTTCATGCATTCTCTCTGACACAGATTACAATAGAGATTTTTCAATCGCAACAAACATAATTACGTATATGCAAACTGGAAGTAAACAAAAAGGTCTGATAAATTTAACAATACTAACTGAAATGAACTAAAAATCAAAAGAAAAAACATTTTAGAAATAATAAAAGTCTGTTTTCAGTGAGGTCTGGTTTCACTAAATGAGCACAAAGAAAATACAATCATATTTCCTTTGTAAATGATGCTGTTGAAAAAAAATTTGTAGTGTTTTAGAAGACACTCGTATACAGACTGGCTTAAAAATGCAATATTAGCAGTTTTGTGTGCAGTCCTGCCTGAACTGGGAATTGAACCTCGATTATCCATATGTGGGGCAACTGTGTTATCCACTATGCTAGTCAACCATGTGGTGTTGTATTATTGCTTTAGGTTTCTATTAGACTTAACATGCTCATACTTGCTAACGAATGCACAATAAATAGCGGTGTACAATTATATATACTACATACATACATAATTATATAAATACATACTATTTATTATGACAGTGGAAAGTTTTGGAAGCAGCCAAAAAGTGGGTTACATGACTGCCATGGTCTTGTGTGACTGCAAAAAAATCACTCACAATGTCAGATTCATAATTTTGCCTAATTTTGTACCTCTAAAAAATATAGATTATTTCTGCAAATATATTGGAAATATTCAATACATTACGCAGCCCTAGCTCAGAATATATATAACTTCAAGCTTGTTGGAAAAGCATCCCATGTCAACAAGCTTCTAGAATGAAAGCCACCATATTGATAACAAAATTATGATTTTACAGGAGAAGGAAGAAACATACTTTACTTTTAATGTAAGTCAGTGTAACCAGACTTTTTTCCAAGTAATTTTGGGCCATTTCTTTTGGTCTGTTCATCATGAAATTTATGCACAATGCAAAATCATTTTCAAATTATGTCAGAAACTGAAAAACAAAAATAGAGATACGTGGTTTTGTTTTGACAGCAGCAATAAGCTGCATCAAGGCAAGGTTACACATTTTGATTTAACACTTTTTTTGTTCACTGCATAATACCACGTGTTATAGATTGATGCCTTCACCATTTATTCTAAAACATGGAAAACAGTCAAAATAGGGAAACCTTTCTATGAGTTGGTATGTTTTGACATGTACTGTATCTACTGCATCTTTTGAATGGTAGGTATGCTAACATAGTGTAACCATTTGATAGCCAGTGATGCTGTTGAGTTACAGGTATGGCAACCAACTGTATGGGGTATTGTACATACCTGTGATGGCGTGATGAGAAAATGCCTCCACGTACGTCAGGTAGTTATGTGGACAGTGCTTCTTCAGCCACTTGCACACGTCTTGTTGCGTCCACAGCACTACAGGCTTTGACAGACTGGACAGCGTTGGACTGGTGTGATACACTGCAAAGGCCTCACCTGGACGAATCTGCACATGAGAAAAGCACTATCATCAACCTCCTCATCATCATTATAATCATCAACTGTTATTATCACTGCCGTTATCCCCCTTATCAGCAGTGGCATCAACAGCAATGACACATTTATCTTTTTTATCAGTAGTTATCCTTATCAGTGTTTTCATTAGGCTTTGTAATTACCATTGCTATGATAACATCTTTGTAATCCATCCAAGTTTAACCCCTTAAAATCCCAGGCTCATTACATACTAAGGCTTATAATTCAGTAATTATAGGGACTTCAGTGCAAACTGACTGAGCTATTCTTAGGTTGTAGAAGTGTGTAATAAAACTTGTTGGGCCCTGGCTATTTAAGGAGTTAATAAAATTTTATGCACTTCAATCTGAACAACTAATTTGGCATTATAGAAAGCTGGCAATAAATTCAGTGCTGAAGGACGAATGTCATTTTGGAGTGAATCTAAATTAAGTATGCACAATATATAGTTTGTTGCTGTGAGCATCCTGACCAATCACAGATGTTCCTCAAGTATTTCTGAACCAAGGAATCATGTGATCCAACTAATGTAAATAATTTTGGTCAACATAATGCAGGCTGAGCTTTAGCCTTGTTACATCCAAGGCTCACAACTGTGTTTTAATAGGGAAGTATTTCACTCGTTTTTATTTAATATAGTTCAGTGTTCTTTGAAAAACAACTGCAAAGAATGTAAAACAAATTAAATGTAAGAATGTAAAACAAATTAAACCTTAATTTAGTCTTTGTATAAAGTGTTTTACCCTGTTATCTACACCTCTGTGAAGAAAAACGTTCTTGGTTTTATATGCTAATGACCACAGATCTCATTGGCTGTCTGAGTGTAGGGGGCAGGGTATGTGGTTTGGACATTGCACTATGGTAGAGATCTTAACAATGGCTGCCGTGGAGCATAATATAGTAAGGCAGAGGACAGCAAGGTCTAATTATCCTATGGAAAGCCTGTTAACATCAATGAAAAACAGTTGACTGAATCAGTCACTAACCCAGAAATGTTTGTTAAATGTTTGCAATATGTGACATTACTGGTTATCATTGTTCTGTCCATCAGAGACACTGCAGCTACACAACAGTAAAAATATGAAGACTGGCAGACTGAGCATGGTTATTTGAGAGGAGTGGGACATTTGTTTAATGAAACACAGCATTCTTCTTCACACTTCACAAATAAAGATGGTAGATACAATGACACCATATATGTCATGTACGGTAAGGCAAATGCAGTTTTGATTATTATGTTTCCTTTAATATCCTGCAGACATTTTACAATTGCAATGTATAGTACCAGAATCACAGTGCAATATTTATAACTTGTCTATATCATATATCCCAGATCTAAATCACTTCATTTTACAAATAATACATTGAGTTTTGGTTGAGGTCTGTCTGATTGTATTAGTAGCACATGAAGGTGTAGCATCAGGTCATGTCAGATGTGGGTCTGGGAATAGTGTTTGCTTACACACACACTCATATATATATGCACGCCTGCACACACACACACACACTCACACCACTGCTCTATTAGGTAGTGTTCCTCCAAAGTCAACATGAACTCACTTGACATTTTGACAGATTAGGCCTCAAAACTGTTTCTGTTTCTGCACTATACCGGAGCATCTAGCTTTCTTTCTGCTTCTTCAGCCCCTTCTTGATTTGAACCATTCACTCTCTATCTCTCTCTCTCCATCCTTCTTTCTCTAAGCATGTGATGTAGAATGTCTGATTTGCTCAGCTTTTCTCCTCTGTAGCAGAAGTGTAACTGACAGTAGTAGATAAGGGTCAGACTGTATCTGACAGACGTGCGGTGTCAGCTACAGCACTGCCTCCAGAACAGCTCAGTAAACGCTCTCTGATCTCACAATAGCCTGAAGAACGACAAGTCCCCCAGCACCATACACACCAATCACACACCTTACACACCAGAGGTGAAAAGTTCCACTGCAGTGATAATTCACTTCAATACAAGTAACTGCACAAACCCAATTACCAAAAATTTGGGACAGTAGGTAAGATGCATATATAAACAGAAAGGAGTGATTTATAAATGTTCTCTAACTTATATTTGAATGAAAACAGTACATGTTTGGGTTTAAAAGGAGCATCCAGAAAAGGCCCAGTCCTTTCTAAGTGAGGTTGGGTCATAGCTCGCTGTTGCCTAAAACATATCAGCAAAACATCCAATGGTTTAAGAATAATCTTCCTCAGTGAATGATTGCAACGGTTTTCAAGTTAAGACTGTCCTATCCCGCAACAGCCAGAAACTCTGCCAATTTCTTTGGACTCAAGCTCATCTAAAATGGACTGATACACAGTGGAAACATGTACTGTGGTTTGACAAATCAATCTTTCAGAAATAATGAATGTTGTATTCTCCAGACCAAAGAAGAAGAGGACCTTCCAGATTGTTACCAGCGTAAAGTTCAAAAGCCAGGGTCTGTCATGGTATGGGGAATATTAGTGGGTAACATGCATGTCTGTGAAGGCACTGTTAACTCTGAACACATTTTGGAGCAACAAATGCTGCCTTCTAGACACTGTCTTTTTCAGGGATGTCCATGATTATTTCAACAAGACAATGCCAAGCCACATTCTGCACGTTTGACAACAGCATGGCTGCCTAGTCAGAGGGTGCAGGTGCTAGACTTACTTTACAGCAGTCCAGACCTGTCTACCATTGAAAACATGTGCAAATTACAACAGTGAAAGACACATACAGATGCACAGTTGTAGACATGTATAACCTAAAGAATGGTAAAAAAATCGACTTTCAAAATCAGATCACTTTGTGTTTTCAGCCCACAAATGTTTATTAAGTGTTGATAAAAAGGAATGGTGATGTAACACAATAGTAAACACGTATCTGTCCCAACTTTTCTGAAATGTGCTGCAGGCATCAAATTTGGAATTAATATGTACTTACAGAAAAACAATAAAGTTCATAGGGTAAAACATAAAATATAGTGTTTTTGTACTATTTTCAATTTAATACAGATCAAACAGAATTTACTAATCACTGCTTTCTGTTTTATTTAGCATTTCACATATCATCCCAATGTTTTTGGAACTGGGTTTGTTTAAATAAATAAGATTATCCTTGTAAGAGTAAATACATGTTTATTGAGAAATTACTTCATTAATTTTTTGGGGTCACATTCTAAAAATAAAGCTGGCTATTTTCTTTGAAATAACCTGTACAAACAAAACTAAATCAAAACTTGACATTACTATTAAAGGCAGGTTTACACTGTGCAATAATCATCAGAATAATGTTGTCACAGATGAAAAAACAAAAAATTGTGGGAAAAAAAATTATTTGTTTGTGGGGTGAAATCCATGGTCTTTGAATGTTTAATATGTCATGCTTGATGCCAATTTACTGTCTCTGTGACCAAAGACAGCCTACAGTTTGGTCCACGTCAGAAATATTGGTCCAAAATCTTGTAGTTGGACAACTGCTACAGTGCACATCTAAAAACAAGCAATAAAGAGCTGTGTGTGCATGAACGCTAAATTAAAGTAAAAAATGTATTGTCCACAAGTTTAAGAATATTAGCTTACGTTATTAGTTTGGCCCAGCCCTCAGTTCACATATAATGACCTGCAGTAAAATAGCAGTGCTAGATACTACACAGTGGACAGAAAAATTAGCCTACTGACCTCAAGTTCATTTTGAAGTATGAGCATTTCATGGAGCTATTTTCACCAACCAAGAACAGCTCCAGCCTTTCCTTCTCAGTCATTTAAAACAAGTTTTGTACAGACAACTACTCGCCACTGCTATGCAAAGGGTTTTTATGCTTGCATAGTCCTATCTTTCAGCATAAAGCAAAGCATTTTGTTGCATTGTAAATCAATTGCCAGAAAATCTTTATCATATAATGTGGCATGCAGATTTGCAGCATCTTGGGCACTGTGACATGCAGTATAAAACATAAAAAACATAAAAATATAAACGTATATGACCACTGTAATTGTACAATGTAAAGAGGGTCTCACAGAGAAAAGTATAGACCTAAGACTAATTATATCATTTTCAGATTTCTTTCTGTGTAATATGTAAAGCACATTAGAACATTAGCTAACATTTGCTGAATTAGCCAGCTAACAGGCCCTCACAACAGAACCTTCGCTATGGTTAAATTTCATACTTCAGTGATAATACATTTTTCATGTGGTGATAATGCCACTTTATAGTTTTAACCCCCGTGTTTGTTTTCCGCTCCCACCGAAAATCTGCATCATTTGTCCCATTCCCATTTGCAACCTAAATGTTTTGTCCCGCCCCCAACCACAGACCTGTGTAACTGGTTTCCATCTGCATTTGGTGACTGCCATAGGTCAGACTTGGCTTTAGTTGGTTTTACTGTCATTTATTCACCTTTATTAAGTGGCCATCTGACTGTTCGAAGGCACTGCTGTTTCTATAGCCTGCAAGAAAGCAATTCATGATTGGTTGCTTCTATTTAGAACTAGTTTAGGACTTCTAGTTAGAATTAATTTATATCATATTTTTTGTTATTTGGCTTTTAGATATTATTTATATATGCCAATTATTCATCGATGGCTATCATTTTGTTTTGGTTTTTCATTGATTTGCAGGATTTTTCTACATGCATGTGTTTTCCCGTTCCCATGCACACTGTGTGGGCCTGTGACATTGAACAACAACTGTGACATAGCAACAAAGAAGCTTTTCCTGACGGTTGTATCTAAGAAATGTGCAACATTAAAAGGATTTGTTTGAGCTGCTTTGTTGTGTATGGTGTGCATTTCAAAAAGCAGCACGAACTGAGCTATGGACATCCAAGCTATATGTGAGAAAGAGCTCCTGAACAAGAGAGCTGCCTAACTAATGGCACCCTTTGCCTGTTTTGTGAGGAGCAAAGGGTAGTTTTAGTTTGAAGACACTTTGCTGTTTGATAGTTACAGATTATATTTTTAATCAGTAATCAGTAATTCTTTCTATAC